AGAGTTTGTCTGCACTTTGGAAAGGCATGTCCTAAGCATCCTGAATCTATATTCAAGTGGCTTGAATAATTTATTTCCTTTTTAATTGCTAAAGTTGATGGCAACTGCTGGCTGCTCTAAGTTTTCTTAAACGATGGTATTTAGCCATGCAATAGTGGCAGAGGCCTTGGGTTCTATTTTTAAATATTCATTGAAATTTGTATGCGATACAGGGTGTGTGTCTGCCGTTAGCACACTCGGTCCTGAAACACAGAGGCAGCCTGAGCATCAGGGGTCACTGCAGTGCATAGGGAGAGAGCAACTGGTGTGAGATAGTCTCTGAAAAGGATAAAAGGAGCGAAGAAAAAGGCTTCTGGCTTCTTTCTTTGGTATTGCTGCCTCACACGTTTAAGTAGAACAACTTTGCAAATCGCAACTGGAACAAAAGGCTGCCGGTGGAGCTTTGCAGCAAGGCTGTTGCTGCCTGATGTTGCGCAGATGGTTGTTGGAGGCGTACGGCCTGCCTGCCACGTACGGCCTGGCGTGTTCTCCTGCCAGAGACATAAATATTAATGGTAAGTGTCCTGCGGTATCTCTACGTGATTGAGCTTCTCCTGAAAGCCCCGGCTGCAGTGGCAGGGGAGGGAACGTGGAGAAGAGGGTAATGGTTCTGCTGGCGTGCGGTGGGCTTTCCTGCCACATGTCTGATCTGGGAGTGGTTCGCAGCTCTGCGTGTTTGTTGCCGTCGCTTCCACCGTCCGTCTCGACCAAAGTCAAACCCAGCTTCTGCCGACGCGCCTGTTGCCTCCGCTGCTCTTCATGAGCCCACGTTTTCCATAGGCTCCTTTGCAATAGGTGGGTGACGTTAACTAATTTAGACGCTCTTACCTGTCTCTGTTATCTTTGCCCTGGACCAGTAGAGCAAATGGCTAGCAACTCGTGACCTTGTGCACAGAAACCTGCATTCTTTTTGGCAAAAAGAAATCCACTTTCCTTCTTCTGACATGTGCCTATGGTGGTGGTGTGGGCATTCCAAGTACCCAACTGTGTGGAACACATCAGCGTGGATTTTTGTAGCAGTGGCATGGACGAAAAATGTTCTTCATGTTGTCGATAGAGCAACGAAAGTTTTGGGGTTGAATGTCTTCCATCTGGTGATGGTTTGAGCCAGGGTGCGTAGACCATCTGTACCAAAATGTACAAGTAACTTCTCCATCCTCCAGTCCTTGCCGATAATCATTACAGAAGTGAAGATTTGCCACCCAGAAGTCTTCATCTCATTCTGATCTGTCATGGAAATCCAGGCCATCAGGGCAATTTATTTATTTAAGTACAACATAGGTCGTTGCAGTGGGTCACCAGCAGGTGCTCTGCTGCCGGCGGCGGGATTGCAGCTAGCAGAGTTCCTGCTTGTCTTTTACAACAGCAAATGTGGGTCAGAAATCATCTGATAATACTCTGTTTGAGAGACCTACTTGAATGTGCTTTAAAGGGGAAATTAAAAGCATTGTAAATTAGGCAAAATTACATGAAAAGGGTCCCGAGTTAGAAAGGAGAAGTTTGTAATAAATTCCTCAAGGATGTAGAGTCTAATGTGTAATTAGAGAACCACGAACTGCCTGTTACTGCTCGTTCTTTGTACTGAAAGTCTCCGTGTCTGTAACTTCAGCAGATGTTTCCATCACGCGCAGTCACCAGGAGCCATCTCGGGCTGTATTTTAAGTGTCTGTTTACACAGTTGTTACAAATTGCCTATGGGATGCGAGCTGTCTGTCACTTCCAGAGCAATTAGCATGTGAAACCTTATCAAAAGAAATCCGTCAAGTTTGAAAAGACATAAATATTGCACTAGGATCTCTAAGGGAATCAAAGTGAGTTTGATATAGTAGTTATTTACATGTTGCTACACAAGCAAATGCACTTAGAGATGCTCCAGTCCGTGTTATTCCCTCTGCTTTACGTTCCATTAGTCCCATTTTACTTTAGAGAGAGAAGGAGAGAATTATCCAGTTGTTTCAAATACTGTATAGCAATCATGGACTGCTAATATCTGATTCTGTGTTGTTCGGGCTGTTGTATTTTTCTGGGCAATGATTTGTTGTAATGAAAGGAAGGCAGAGGTGTAACACCAGGTCTTCATTATGTTCCTCAGCTTTATGTAACCAAGTTAGCAGAGTTTGAAGATGGCTTTTGGGGACATTTTTATGTTTCACACTCTAGAAATAGGTCTCCTTTAGTTACCCCTGCATTGGGCTCCTCTTTGTGGAGGAATCCAAGATCATCCCCATTTGGTGTCCTCTCTTTGATCAGACCTCATCAGTACTGCACAACTTTACGTTTGCCTTCTGCTGTCCCGTGACCTGCGTACCCAGGGTTTCCAGCCTGGCACTTGGCTCAAATGATGCAAATATTCAAGACTTTTAACTGAGGCAGAGGCTAGGAAGGGCTACTACAGCGATTAGAAGATTGGAAGGCATCTTGAAAATGAAGGCAGAAGGGCTCTTGATGGCTCTCACCAGCAAAGAGTCAAGAACTCTTTAAGCTAAAGGCATCATTAGCCCAGAAGCACGTAGCTATAGACTAGTAATGAAAATATTTAACCTGGAAATTAGAGAGGTTTTTAGCAATTAAAGTAATACCAACTTATAACAGAAAAGTAGGAGCCAAAAGCCTTGCTGCTTCTAGGGTGTATTTATGGATGGGACTACATAACCTCCTGGGGAAGGGTAGGGTGGGACAGGGATTGTAGATCCGGAGGGACCGTCCCAGTCCTGTGTTTCTCTGAGGAACGTGTGGTCAATTCACCGTGCCACAGTCAATGCAAAATGTTCTCGTGTTGCAGAGCTCGGGGAGCTGTGGTGGTAACCTGCTCTGTGTGAAGATTCGCTCAAATTTAAATGCCTCTGTGCATTCCAGGGCAGCGATGTTTATTTGCCTGTTGCTGGATGCTTCTGGAGGAACAAGATAATTGTTCACCAGGAGTAAATTAAAAAAAAAAAACCCACAAACCAAACTTAACTACTTGCAGAAAATAATAAGCCAGCTGAGAAGTGGTACCTTGTTTGCTCTGAGTATCCTCTTGACATCAGCATGAGGTTACTTATAATTAGATGCACATGTGTAAATATGATGATTAGATATTCCCACATAAACATAATTATCATATCTTCCTAAAAGTCTAAGCAGGCATTTTATAATCCCGTTGTTAAAAATAAATAAATAAAAGCCGACAATCTGCGTTGAGCCTCTTAGATATGTAAACAGTGGAACATGAGGGCAGAATATATTTTCCAAAGTACCTAATGGTCAATTACAGTTATGACTCATTAGAGTATTAAACTAAGAATATGCTTTTTAGTATAATCAGTGTTCCCTTAGAAAACTACAGCAATCTTGTATTCACTTTAATTCTTCAGGCATTTTCAGGGTGTTTGGGCACTAGTGTTAGGCAAATATAATAGGATTATATTGCATTAACCTCCCTTACAAACTCTGCAACCACTTGTGGCATCTCTCTCACTTATCTTTTTTTTATTGCTCAAGTCACTTGCAAAAATGCCTTATAAAACACAGAGCACTGCCTAATTAGTCATATAGAAGATTACAGTTGCTTAATTTAGTGTTCCGTTTTTCGCTGATTCAGAAATTCCACAGGAATAAAACATACAGTGTGTGTAACACGGCTCAGCAGATCTTCCTCCCAACTGCTGTTAAAGGGAAAAAAAAAATTAGTAGGAAAGAATAAAAGAAAAGTCATGAGTCAGGCTGAAATGTTCATGACAACAAGGTGAGATTCTGGTAAAATATTCTGGATTGGAAGAACTTGAAGGAGCAAGAAGAACATTGGATCTGTGTGCAGGCTCGGAAGTGTCACAGTTGGAAATTTGTATGTGTAGCCATAAAGACGAGGACTTGCAGAATGTTAGCCTTTTGGTCATTTTGTGGGCTGTTTCCCTAACCAAAGTGGGCAGGGGGAAAATCATTTCGGGGGCTCCAGCCCCGACCTGGGATGGAACCCAGCATCAGAGCGTGCCCCGTGAGGCTGTGCACCCTGTCACTCACGCTGGTGCTACCTTGTCCTTCCAGAGCTCACCTACGCGTGGATCTTCAACGAGTACCCGACCTTCGTCCACCAGGACAATCGCCGCTTCGTTTCGCAGGAGACGGGGAATTTGTACATCGCGAAGGTGGAAGCTTCGGACGTCGGCAACTACACGTGCGTCGTGACGAACACGGTGACCAACAGCAGGGTCGTGGGTCCCCCCACCCCTCTCATCCTCAGGAACGACGGTAGGACTTTGGGGAGGGGAATGGGGGGCTGGGGTCGGAGGGTTTGGTTTGTTTTTTTCCTGGCTGTCACCCAGATACGAAGAAATGGCCTGAAAGTTTTATGTCGGAATAAAGGAAGAGATTTTTCCCCTTCACAGAGAGTCAGTGAGGCTGGAGACCTCTGCTTTAGCTGTGGGTCAAAGTCAGACAGTGGTGGGGTGTCTGCTGCTGTGGCCAAGGTTGCTCTTCCCGGCACTGGAACAACTCTCAGTATCACACCATCGTTATAAAAGAAAAACCTGGTGACACTGGGCCAAAGACAGGAAATAAAACCGATTTTAGAGTTTGGATGTACGAGTTTTGCTCATTTTATGCAGCCCAAAAGTGAACAAAAGCACTTTGTTGTTTCAGTAACTGTAGGCTCAGGCTGTATTTCCCAGCAGAAATAGCGCTATTTTTAGCGGTCTGTGAATAATACAAAAAAGCGAAAAGAAACCAAAAGAGGATTTCTAAATTTATCCAGACAATTGATCTGTATCGTCGTCTTTTTTGAGTAGATAAGAAAAATAAATTTGCGTGTTGATTTGCAATTAAAATTAATTAAAATTTGTCTGTTTAAAGGATAACAGTTAGGACATTCGTTCCAGAAATAGAAACGCGCTATTAGAAACTTCTTCTAGAAGAAGATCCATTGTCACCTAGTGGTATTGGAAAAATATTCCTTGTCAAATCATCGCTGCCAGCCTCCTGCCGTTACCCACCCCCTTCACGTGAACGCGGGGACGGGGAGTGTGGAAATGCCGGTAATGAGAAGGCGCCGTGGTTACGCTGGGAGGGGTGAAGTGCCGGGTCTGTGCCAGGTCTGCTCCCCGTTACAGGGGAGGCTGCAGTTCCTTGAACACAGCGGCAGTAAATCTGCCTCCCTGAGTCTGGAGTGAGTCGTCTAATGGACGAAAGATAAAGAGGAATATTTAAATTTGGCTCGTACTAACATTTTCAGCGTCGGAAGAAGAAATATTTTTAAGTATTACATTAACAGGACTTTTATGCAAACCTCACCCAGCTGAAAGTGCTTCCGTTTGTCACAATCAGGCTCGATGTCTGCTGCAGTTCTGCGACGGGGCTGACGCTGGGATGATTGCGAGGCAGCCTGATTGTAAAGTGCCTCGCCAAGGGCTTTACGTACCCCAGCGCGTCGCTCCTTTTGGAGCTTTATTTACAGGGACCGATTGCCTTCCTGGGGTGATTCACAGGCATGTTCCCTGATTCCTTTGAAGTGCACTCTGCTGTTTATTAAAGATACGAAACTTTAATTGAACCTCTGAGGGGCTGAGGAATAGATTCCTGAGTTAAATAGGAAAGGTGCTGTTGTATCCATAGAGCTAAAGATGGCTGTACTTGAAAGCTGAACCGGGGGTAAATGTGTATTTTAAAATAGGATTGCACTTGTATTACGGGCAAGCTTCATTTTAAAAATCAGCAGGCCTCAATTTTTCATTCCACATAGAGGAACCCTATAAAATCTGAATATAACGCACTACCACATTTGAAAAAAAGGAAATTACACGTGTTGCTTCGGAAGCGTGACCGACAGAAGGGAGTAAAATGTGGGGCACGTTCTATTTCCACTGGCAAATGGCGTCTTGCTTATCTTTTGTATTCATATCTGATGTGTCCAGTGTCTCTTAATAGATATGAGATGCTATTTTCTTTACAACAGTTTATCATTATGTTAGTGGTCTCGGAGGTTAGCTCATCAACAATTGAATGTTTCAGTTCCATTTCATTTCAATTAGGGAGTTAAGTAGAAAAAATTCGTAATGTACCTCTCCCAATCGTTTTACATAGCGGCTCTACTGGCGGCCGCGGGGGCAGGCAGCAAGGGGCTGCATCTGCCGGGGCCCTCGTGCGGCTCAGGAGAAGGGGTGGGGGGCCCCCTGTCCCCCCCGGCAGCTCCCCATTTACGACGGGTTGATGCAGCTCCAAAGCCCCTGTGCCCCAGGCTGGAAGGCTGGTGTCCCATGGTCTCCTCCGATGCACCCATCATAAAATTGTTTGTTGCTGGAAGTTTCTAAGTTATATTCTAAGTTACTGGTTGGCTTCATATTGAAATACATCCCATGAATTCCAAAAAAAAAAAAATCCAGGGTACTTTACAACAACCTGCTTGTGAAATTTCTGCTTTTCTCAAAAATCAAAGCTATTTTTAAACTGCAAAACACTTTTGGTGTCATGCAGAATGAGTTATGGGTCCCTGTAGTCAATACATAGCCCCGTCGCTTTGGAAGAAATGAGTGGTGGCGTGAGATGCTATCCAAAAGGAATACTGGTCAGGCAGAACTAAGAGTAGCACCTGTATTTGTTTTTTTCATGATTTCGCACTGAGTTGAAGGAGAAAAAGAGAAGACTCTTGTCTTTGGTGCTGATGATAATCTCTCACTCAAAAACTTTAAAAATTCCCAGTTCTGGAGCTGTAGGAAGAAAACAGAATTCAGATGCTCCCCGTTTGGCTGACCCTATGCTGTTCAGCATCAAGAATTTCAATCGTTTTAGCAGATACATGTATGAACCACGTGGCAGCCAACATTCAAAGTGCTCCTCGAACTAAGGGGCAGGCCGCGTTCCCCCGGAGCGGCTCCCCCCCCCCTGCAGGGCTGGGTGTGCAGGACAGCACGCGCCCGCGGTGACCCCGAGGTTTCTTTTCGCATTTCTTCTTCAATTTATGGCAGTCATTTTTCTAGGCTTAGTCATGAATCATTTAGGCTTTGTACGTTGAATACCTGCCGCCTTTGCGGTGGTTATTTTACTTGAATGTAATCATCCTGGAAAAAACACTTTTCAGCGTGTGTTTTTTTGAGCGCTGCTTGCTTTTACAGTGCCAGGTTTTGGAGCTATAATCTGTAAAAGGCAAAGATACGGGTGCAGGGGATGAAATCAGATCCGGTAGGCAGATTGCTTTCCCCACCTGTGCCTTTTGAGCTTCTCTTTTGCTTGTTTTCAGCTGTGAGGCTCCGGAGTTATAGATCTCCTGGTGTTGTTTGCAGCAGCTTTTTGTGAGCAGCGGTACATGCTCTTGTTGACAGAACTCAGGTTCCTTCCCTGTCGCTGTGCTGTGGAAGCAGAAGGTGCCTCTTATCCCATCAGACAGCTTTTCCTCCTTGGAGAGATAAATATCATCAAGGGTTACGGGATGGTGGTAGGAACAGACCGTGCCGAGGCAGCTGTCACGGTCAGTTTGAGCTCAGACTCTGCTTCCATGGACGGAGGTTACCTGATGATGATAAATACAGTGGGGAAAGGATGTTTTTCCTCTGTCCCTCTTAATTCCCTCCCACAAACACACGCGGTCACCCTCTGTTTCAATATTTGCATGTAGCTGTATGGATCTGTGGCAGCGAGGATGCTTGCAGTGCGGGTGGGTAAAAGATTTAAACACCGTATCGTGTAAGTGCAGCGGCCCCCGAAACTGCACGTGGGTGGTTTGGGACCTGTCCTCCCAAAATGAGCACCCGTCTTCCAGCACAGGTCTTCAGGAGTGACAAGCAGCTCTCCCTTTCGCATCATGTAAGTGCTAGTGTGTGAAAGGACAAAAATTAAAAGATCTTAATGGTTTTCAGGTTTCCCAAGGTATTGAGGTTGGGATTCGGCTCGGGTTCTGCAGGGATGTGAGTTAGTCCTGACCACACCAGTTGGCACCAGCCGTGGAGAAAGGGCGCTCTGGGCTGTTTTCACGCTAGGAAACAGAAGAAATAAATAGCTGAATGGCACCAAAGGCTGAGAATGATCCTAAAGCCTGAAGCGAGGTGTCCGCTAGGATCGTGGCACTTACTGCAGCTCAGACAGAAAAAGGGTTTACGTTCGAATGGCTCTTTCCCAAACAAGCCATCTGGCAGCTCACTGCGGGATACGGGCTGGAGGAGAGGGAGGAATGGGAACAAACCTGCAGCTCTTGTCTCCTCCATTTCATAACCCAGTGGCCTGGCTGCCCCTGGCTGCCCTGTCCCCGTCAAGGCCACGGTTTCCCCATCGCGTCCCCTGGAAGGGCAGCGGGTCCCTGGGGGTGCTGACCCCGCTGCCGCCGCAGCACCTTCGGGACCCTTCCCAGCCCTGCAGCAAACACCAGCCGAAGCCTGTTTGGAGCACCCAGGTGTTCACAGCCGCTGCTCTTGCAGTACTTTACTTCTTCTCTTTAAAATGTGCTTTGGATTTTTACATCAGAATTAAAACAGTAATAGTAGGAAAGAACCGAAATAGTCCTGGAATAAAATTACCATCAGCGGCAGCTGTATGGGCCAATTAAACTTTAACATTTCACAGGTGTTGTCAGGAAATGCATATCATCTCCTCAGACAAATTAGCTTGCTTCTGAATTCCTGGAACTTTCATCCAAAAGCACATTTTTAAGCCTTGAAATTGGATTAAAAAAAAATAAAAATGAAAGCCTCTGAAATGCAAACAGCATAGAGCATCTCTGATGTGCCACCACACTGGAAGCGTTCTCCAAGCTACAAATGCGGTGTCTATTTTAGTCTTATATTTTCTCCCCTGTCCCTTCCACCTGCACAGCTAAGGCAGATGTTAAACCACCCAGGAGCAGCAGGAAAAATAAGGATCGTCTGTATGGAAATGGTCTTGGATTCGGGATAGAGGTATCTCAGCTCCACTGATGTTTCTCCTATAAAGCAGAAAAGGCAGGACTCACAGCGTACCCTATAAATAGTTATACACACGTGTGTGTGCATAGGTGGGTTATAATTGCAGTGGGACCCTTGTGATTTTTCCAGGTACGAGTCCTGATTTTTAAGTGGTTTGAGTTTGCAGTACTGCTGGTAAAACAGCTGCCCTCGCGGTTGTGAGAGGCAGCAGCAGTGGCCAGAGCCGAAGTCGTACGGCCCCAGGTAGCCTTCCCATCCTGGACTGGGGCTTTTATCACCGCTGGGATTGGAGCCCGAGGCAAAGAAACGGGAACAATTAAAGGAATGAGTGAAGAGAAGGCAAAAAAGCGCCATTTTTCCTGCCTCCTGTTCTGTCAGGTGAGTAACGTATTAATAATACATTCTGCCTTAATTTCCTAAATAGCCCGTTAGTGTCACACGATGCTTTACAGCCTGCTTTGCCGCAGGGGACCGCGTTCCTGCTTCAGCAGTGGAGGAGGTGCAGAAGGAGGAACCATTCTTGTGGATTCTGCTTGTTGAGGACTGGCGGGCAGGCGGCTCCTGGGACTGGCTCGCTTTCTCCTGTGTTATTTGGCTGCCGAGTCACCTCCCACCCTCCGATGGAGCCTGCGGGGAGTGGTTTTGGGGGCGCTGCATCCCCTCTGCTCACGTGCCCGGGGTGGGGCAGGGGGGTGGCTGGTGGCCCAGGCACCGAGGAGCTCTTCGGCCGTCTTGAGGAAGGTGATGGAGGCGGTTGTTTCTTCGGATGAGTCTCCAGCCTGAAAGTCAGGATCTTCCAAGGTGAGGCAGCTGCCTGAATCTGGTCAGGCTTTCCTGGGAAGCGTATCCTCAAAAGCTCTTCCTCTGCCAAATTTGCAGTCTTCATTGCAGAACGTGGAAATGCTCTTCTAGGAAAAGATCTCAGGAGGTTCTGCTATCAGCAGAACGGTGCTGCTGCTCCCAAACGTTCACGGCCAGCCTTGTCCTGGGACTCCACTGGGCAGTGGCTGTTCTTGGCTTAGCTGAAGCTCACCCAGGAAACGTTTAGCACGGAGTCTGGAGAAATTTAGGCCAGGTTGTGAAGATTTGGCAAGTCACAGTCAGGAGAAGAGAGGATTTTCCGTGACGTTAACTGTAAGAGACACTTCCAGCCTTTGAGGGCTGCAGCGTTAACGTGCAGAGGGCTGACGAGTAGCGTGCCCCGTAATTCTTGTTTGTTCAGTGTGTAAATGCTGGAGCGTTGACCCAGACTCGTGGGTTTCCTGCTATCTGTGCTGGCCAGGACATGGCTGTGGAGAGGGTATTTGTATTGTTAATAAATGCATTTAATTTTGATGACTGACGTTGTGCAGCATCTACTCTTTACATAATGTAGCAGCAACGATGTGCAATCAAGATGATGTAACCTGCAATTGCACCAGAACAGCTGGTAAACAGGTCAGCAAGTAAGGGTGGACTTGATGTAAGCCTCATAGTGACCATTTTCAGCTTTAAAACTCTTTTAACTGTGAAAAAAGTGAAGAAAAAAGGCTTTTCTGGCATCCTCTTTGCAAAGCAGAGGGACAGCAAGCAGCACTGCAATCACGGGCCACCGTGAGCAGCCCTGACTTACCTGAATATCTCTGCGGACTCGTGCCAGCTCATTTCTGGGTTACTGGTGCTATCTCATTTCTGTATTGGTGCATACTGGCGGCATTCGTCTGGTCGGATCCAGCACCGCTCCCGCCTCGCTTGCCCCGCGCTTGGCCAACCTCCGGGAAGCGCCGCGCAGTCAAGGCTTAAACTGCAATCATCAATTAGCTGATAATCACTATTGGTGAAATTATACGTGCCGGTTTTAAGACAGTGCAGTGACTAGAAATGTAGCCATTTGTCATGACTATAATGGCCCTTTTTATGTGCACGAATTTTTAAACACAATTTCGCAAAGAGGCTGCCATGATACATGATTTACTGGGGCAGTAAAAATAAAGGAATTACCCAAAGAGTATATGATCTCTGTGCATCTAAATCCTTGGAAGTTAATAGAAGCCTTGATTAGCTCCGGTGCTTTTAAAACTTTTTCTGACGGCTATTTGTTCCGCATTTCGTTTTCTAGAAGGTGGTGAACCTCCCTTGTTATTGCCTCCCTTATTTCACAAGTCACCTGCAAAAATCCTGAATATTCAAAAGGAAAAAGCAACAGAGCCATGAAGAAATTTTAATCTTTGGCAGATGGTGTGGAGCGCTGGTTCAGATTTTCCTCTGGCAGTAAATGGGAAAAGAGCCCACACTACGCGGCTGTTAGAAACAGGCCATGTTTAAAATGAATGGATTAATTGGGCAAGTAATGATGTATAGAACAGCTCTGTGCTAGCACGGGAACACTTGTGAATTTATTGCAAAAATTCAACCAAGCCTTAGCGTCGATTTTATGTTCACAGGGGTGATGGGAGAGTATGAGCCGAAAATAGAAGTGCAGTTCCCGGAATCGGTTCCATCTGCAAAAGGAACAACGGTGAAACTGGAGTGCTTTGCCTTGGGGAAGTAAGTTTAGATCCATTATTACTATTCCTCCAGCTTCTCACTGCTGTATTGTAAAGTTTGCAGGATTTCCTGACCGTTCGCTTTCCTCAGCGGGACTTACTGCAGGCATTCATAACAAGGGGCACGGGGGGCAGGGGCTTTGCTCACCAAAAATACGACCTCCCAAGGAAGAGGGAAGGTGTAACTTACTTTGTAAAGATGTGTTTGTGCATCTCCTGTGTTGAGGTCTCGTGCAACACTTAAAACACGTGTCTCGTTTCTAGAATAAACGCTGGCAGCACTTCCAAAATCAAAACGTGGGACTGGTAGGAAGACAGGTGTATTGTCACGGAACCCCAAAGTCAACTTGGTCAAAACAGCATTTTGATAATAGAGAGTCTTCTGCTTTTAAGCCTATGTGAGCGATACGTCGTGGGTAGACAAGCTGTATATTTATATCGTGTATAAGCCACCCATAATAAAATTGCTCCAGATCCTGTGCCAGAGTCTTCAGGCTGACCACGTCTTCATCATCCTCAAACATGAAACAGTGTTAAGTTGGTCAGACGAGAGCTTATCAGGACCAGACCCGTCGCTTTTTCTGCGAGTCTTATTTTGCTTTGTTTTCCTTATTTAGCCCGGTTCCTACCATTAGCTGGAGGAGAGCAGATGGGAAACAGATACCCAGAAAAGCCAGGAGACACAGATCAAGTGGACTTCTTGAAATCCCAAATTTTCAGCAAGAAGATGCTGGACTCTATGAATGCGTAGCTGAAAATGTGAGAGGGAAAAACGTGGCACGAGGACAACTGACATTTTATGGTAAGCAGACTGCCTGTTTTCAGGGGATTTTATTGTATCGAGGGCAACATGCAGTAAGTATTTTCTAAGAAAGTCATTTTGGGAAGGTATTTTTAAAATGACTTTCTTTTACAAACAGCACGTCTTAAAAAGGGTGTAATTTGAAATAAAACCTGTCTGAATGGTGCATAGTAATTGAGAATCAGAGCAGTTGGAACAGAAGTGCATCGCTGGAAGGACGTTGGCATGGTGGCACGCAGAAAACACTTGCAAAAAGCTCATTGGCCTTCTTGTGACTGGGAGGGTAAAGCAGGCATTCTGGTGGAGCATCCTGGTGGTTACGGCTTGGGATTTATTACACACGTGTTGCCCCAGCTTGTGTTAATCAATGTTAATTGCTTATAACCAATCAAGACCTGCTTTCAAGAGGGGCCACTGATTGCACAGCCTGGAAGAGTTGGGATTTAACCCTGTTGGAGCCAGCAGAGCCCTCTTCACCCAAAGACTTCCTACACCTGCTCTTCTTACACTGGAATCTGAGCCGTTAGTCCAGGCACAAGAAAATTCAGCTTCATGGGCCTTCTGTGTGATGGAGAAGATGCGTTAGCACCTCCAACCCTGACAGAAGCATCTGCCCGTTCCCAAATGTCTGCTGGAAACAGCCCTGTCCTGCGAAGCAAATCAAATGCTTCAAGGAGATGAACCAAGCTTGCAAGGGGGAGGTTTTACCTGTTCTGAGTTACTGTGGATTTACCTGCGTAGAGATGAACGAGAGTCATAGAGAAGGTTTTAGAGGGCTGTTGGGTCGGTACTTAGTTTGTTTGATGGTTTTTTGGAGGGGAGAAGGCTGCAGGTTACATACTCCACACACAGGCATGCAGAGACCTCCCCACTGTCATGGAAATCTTCCTTTTGTTGCTGCCCTGTTACCATCTTCAGGAGCACAATAGAACGTTGTTCTTCATCAAACACGGGGAGAGAAGTTCAGTGTTTTCTCCCCCAAATGCTCCTGATGGACCAACTTCTGTCAGCAGGGAAGATTGGGTTGAACTCCAGAGATGAGAAGAATGGTTTTGATTTATAGTGAATTTGTCGCTGAAACACAAATTAGTTTGGGAGCTAACCCTTCTGGCAAAAGTGGATTGAAGGTGGTGAGTAATGTGGTTTTTTGGAAAAAAAAAATACGCAGGGATGTTTTAAAATAGGAAATCTTTCTAAAATGCATTTCGTTTAGAAATCAGAACTTTTGGGCCTTCCATTTCAAATAAACACTTCTCCTTTTAAAACTGAGCAAAATAGAAAATGAGAAAACGTTAAAAAGGAGCGAAATAGCAAGAACAAAGTAAAAATCTGGGGTTGATTCAAACTTTCTTCTTTTTTTAATTAAAAGATTTGAAGATTTCTTTTTTCTGTTCATCAAACAATGCACGTTGCTCCTGATTTTCCCCATGTGGACAGCAAATTAAAAGACTCGTCAGTTGTACGGTTTTGCTCAACCCACGGCCAGACCCGCCTTCGTTGCAAAGCAGTAAATCAAGCCTTTGGTATACTCCCACCATAGCATATATTAAGTTATAATCTAATTATCGTAATGAATTTATGAGTCCGGATGCCATTCCCGGAGGACTGCAGATCCTACACAAAAGCTGCCACCATGGCTAGTGCTGGTTTTCACACTCAAGATGGCATTTCAGCGAAGAAGCTCAAGGCTTTATGGGAAGAGGAGTGTCCTCCTCTCTGTTTGTGATGCTGGGAGCTATCTTTACGTCTGCTTTGCTTCATTTGATCAGAGGAGTTCCCTATGGAGAGGTATTAGCCTGCCACCTCTGCTGATTGCTGGTTTTAAAGATAATTGACTAAAATACCATCCTTGTCTTGATGCTGAGTTACTAGTTTATAAGTATTCAGGTCTTCAAGGATAGCTCATGTTTGGCAGTCATTTAGTACTGAAAACAGACCTCTTACTAAAAGCTTGCTTTCTGTGAGCTAGGCTCTGGAGCTTCACCTGACAGCAACATTTTTTCTTTTAGGCAAAGTAACTTACTGTAAAAATTTTATGCGAATAGTTGAAACTGAAAGACAGTCATTTTCCTTAGTCATTTTTCTTTCTGCAGCTGAGAAGTGTTCGGTATTGAAATACAACTGTGATGCTGGCAGAGCTTTTCAGGTTGCTTTTGGTGGGTCAGGGCTGGTGCCCGGAGAAGAGCGTGTTGTGGAGGATGGGGTACAGGCGGGCGGACCTGCCGCCGACGCGCCGTGACGTGCCCTGGAGATCACAGTCTGGCTCTAACGGCGTGACTCCATTGAACCCAGTCATCTGCCTTTTTTTTTGCGTAGTATAAAACACAAAAAAAAAAAGAAAAAAGAAAATGAAATTCAAATTTGCCTGCTCACTGCAGATAACCCAGCGTTGCCTCTGCTGTTAGCTTCTTTCTTGCTCCTGGAAGTTGTCAGGGAAGGTTGACTTCTCCTGTATTTCATTCTTGTATCAATGTTTGTTTTTCCCTCTGTTAGCATATCAGTGACACTGAAGTTGTTTGTCATTCTCCTGCAGCAGAAAAGGTTAATTAAACATGCAAGATCGTTCTTCCTCCGTTTTCTGTGCTTTGAGCTCCTGCAACAGGCTGCATGTTATTGCTCTCCAAAAGCATTTGTTCCGGGTGCTGTATGTCCTAGTTGATAGATGGACCTTCACCATAGAAAACGTGTTAATGTTAATGCAATTACGGTTGCTTATACCCGATTCCTCAACTATTACGACTCAGAACCACATATCACTTGTTTTCTTGCTGTAGGTCTCTTCCTCTGCCGTTCCTAGCCAGATACCAAGTACCTCAAATTAGCTCCTGCGAATTAGCAAATTGAACTGCAAAACCTCTTCTTTCCCACCCTCATTCAGCAGCTATAAATGCACGTCGTGCTGCCTGCCTGACTTTGCAGCTTGTTCCCCACAGGCCCCGTGCCAGCTAAATCCCCGTGGCTGAGGCCGGTGAAGTCCCCGTGTCTACATTTAGCCCCTACCCAGGGCTAAACTATAGCAGATCACCCAACAACCCCTCACCAGCCAGGGAGGGGGGATTGGGAAAAGGAGAAACCCGTGGGTTGAAGCGAAAACAGATTTAATGGAACAGCACCAATGCCAGCAGAGATGGACAAAGTTATACTCGGCCAAATGAACATGCAGCCGTCACAACCGACAGGAGAGCAGTCCTCGGGAGCAGGGAGGAGCTGCCCTGGCTGGCTCCAAAACTGGTGACAGCTTCCCTAGCATGGCTGGGCTGGGATTCTGTCCCAGCCAAACCAGGACACCCCGGGCGCAGCCGGGGCACGTCCCTGCTACAGCGCCGGCTGCGCCGTCCCCCGTGCTTCGGGCGCCTGCTCTTCCATGGACCTCGGCAGCGAGGGTCCGCCGCGCCGTCGGCCGTGGGTTTTGATCTGCGGCGTTTCAGAAGCGCTCCCATTGACCTGCTTCTATTTTTAATCGGGCTGCTCATGAATTTTAAATTTGGTAACCCTCCACGAGGCTGAGATTTATATCCTGAGCAAAAAGCAGCGCCAACAGTTGGGTTTTTCTTAGCAGAAGGACGGTAAACAGATTACCTTAACTACCTAATTTTAAAAGAAACTGCCTTTTCATTCCTAAAACCAGCATCAAGGAGATGCTTATTTGTTACCATTGTTGTTGTTTCATTCATGTTAAGTTTAGATGCCGTTTCAGTCAGATCTTCCTTTGTCAGACAGTCACAACCCAAAGGTTTTCCTCAGCACAGGACAGGAGGCCACGGGCAGATGCACAAGCACAACGAACTCGTAAGGCGTTGTTGTGGCTGTTCATCCCTGTGCTCAAAGCCTTTCCCGCGGTGGATGAGAGCCTCACGCCTCGCTGCAGCTCCACTGACATGCCTTGCCCGGGTTCTCCATACCACCACACCATCGTATCGCTTTCCTGGGCTTTTTTAAAATATGAGTGTGTTATTTTTTATGCCTAGTGTGAAAGGAGATGGTTGTGCCAGTGCTTAACCCCTTGGGCTCTGCTGCAGCGTGCGTTTGTACTTTCCTGTGTTGACTCTGTCTGATGAGACGATGCAACATCTTGATACCCCACACCCCAATAACGTGTAGTCGGAATAACAGAAAACAGGAAAAATAGCTGCTGCTGAAGGTGACCCACATATACCCACGTTCAGTGGGGCTGGTAGTGACAGCAGTAAGAAGGCAGCACCGGGGGAGGCTGCTTTGCCAGGCAGGCAGGGCTGCGGGGCTGGGGACAGGCACCCCAGTACGGGCAGGGGTGCTTAGGGCTGAGGAGCTGCACCACCACCGGGAACGTTTATCTGCCAGAATTATGACCAGAACCAAGCATCGGGCTTTCCAGTCAGAGCAACGCTCTCTGGAAGAGAAGGCCAACACCCAGGTACCAGAACAGCTCGGTTTTGGGTCCCCCAGCATCTCTCTCGCGTCAGCTCCCTGCCCAGCACCTTGCTGGCGAGCCAAGGCGAGGAGGAAAAACTCGCGGTTGAAATGGTTTCTGAAAGTGTCAGCGCAGCAGCGTCCGCATTAGCAGAGAGAGAGATTTATTTGTAACTAATTACAGTCCTTTGCAGCATTTTGTAAGATGCTCAGCAGAAGCCATGTAATTGGCTGGGCCGCTTTTCAGATTAAATATTTCTCAAATCAAAGTCCCGCCAGGAATTTATGCAGCTCCCTAATTTTGCAGTGAAGAGTCCCCCTTTTCATCAGCGGGCCTGTGTTCTATTTGTGCGAAAGCTACTTTATGCCACTCCGTAATACAACCCCAAATGTAAATCATATTATGCTCTTCATTACGGTTAGAGGTCTAAAAGAAAGAAATTTGCATAAGTGAAAATCAGGGAGTTGTATGTCTCCATTTAGGTCCCAGATCACAAATAATTTGCTGAAAATTCAAAGCCACTTGAAATCAAATGAGTTTCCGGACTGATAAAAATACAAGAAAATTCACATAAATAGGACAAGCACATACTATTATTAATTACAATTCACATGCCTCACTAGAAAAAACCCAGTTTGCTACCTGTTTCGCAGATACGCTGCCAATTGATTTCTCACATTCGAGCATCTCCGTTTTATTTCAAGTTCTGGAATCCTGTGTTGTTTCAAAATCTTGTGCCAATTTAATTCTTGGTTAACCACCGCTTAAACACTTGGCAGCAGCCAAATCGTTGCAGTGCCCAGTCTCGGTTGGTTACACTCGCCCTGGGGAAGATCACTGCTCTGAGGGAGGATGTCTTGACTCCTGCCAGTGGAATATGTACTTGCGCAGACTTTAGTGCAGGAGGGAGTAACTCTTGAGTTTTGAATAATTTGCTGCCCAAGGGAGGTCTTGCATCCAGAACAAGTTTCTGCATGGAGAGCAGGCGTGTTTCTCCTCCACTTTTCCTTTTCTAAGGGATTGCTGGGAACCTGCTTTATAGGGAAATCAGTTTTTAGGAGATTCAGAGAAAGTGCTCAAATTATCACCATTTTGACTTGGAAAAATAGCTCTGCAGCAGGACAAGCAAAAATAGAAACAGGTATGAGAAATAAAGTGTGAAGGCTACTCACAGAGCACCCCACACCTCCCTTAGTCCCCTGGGTGTAGCTGCAGCCTGGAGTGTCAGGGATAAAAAATAACTAAATCCCTGAGGACTGGTCTTTGTGAACGTGCCTGTAATACCTACAGTCCTTTGGTGCCTGGTGTAACTGCGGAGAAGGTCATGTAGCGTGCAGGATAGCTTATGGAACAGGAGATAAATAAGAGGTAGGGACAATTTCAGTTGTTTTTTTTTTTCTTTCAGCTAAGTCCTTCAAATTTTCCTCTTGTTTCTTTTCCTCTGATATTTAATATTTTAGCCCTAAGCAGAACTCCCCGGCTGGTTCATTATAGTCTGTCTTCTAGAGAGGCAGAAAGGATCTGCCCAAGCAGCAGTATCTGGTGAACTTCCCAAAGATGCAGGCAAATGGAGAGCCTTTAGGTGCATCACTCAAACACGTGATTTTGGTAGAGGATTCACACAGCTTTGAGAGTTGTATAGATTTCAAATAGCCCTTAATTGGCAGTAGAGGTCAGGAAGAAGGGATTGAGAGGAGGAAAGGAAGAGAAGAGGAAAAGTGATAACTTAAAGTCTGGTTTCACGTTCCTGTGATCATTTGGAAGGGTGACAAATTAGGGACATCACGGTTCTGTTTGCAGAAGCTGTATCCCCATCTGGACCGGGATGACGTGCACACTTGTCTGCACAAACCTTACACACTGGCTGCATTCTTTATTTTTAATTACTCATGTATTTTTTCCATCTGTTTTTCTTATTTCTTATGCTTGGCTTTCTGGTCTTTAGACTTTTCTGATCCTGGGCTCAGTCTCAATCTCCTTAGAATAGATATAGTAATGGACAAGTCATTCAGCCTTTCATCTGCCATTAATGATGAATTACACAGCCTGCTCTAGGTCATCAGCTGCTATAAATTGGCTTAGGAACACTGAAATCAATATACACCGACCGAGAATTGGATTCTGTATATGTATTAGCACCTCATTTACTTTAGTCTTTTTGGTTGTTTTGAACTCAGAGATGATTGCAAAGTCGTACAGATTTATTTCTGGTTTATTTCTTACTTTGCTCCCATAATTCTTTGGTTTCGTTACTCATTTCTGATGCGATGCATCATCGCTGGCTGTGTCATTTCATTTTCAAATGCCTTTTAGGACATGATTTCTGGTCCAGCTTTCCAGTGCCTACTTTTGCCTTTCAATTTATTACTATGAAGGACAGACTCATTCTGGATTTTTTGGTCCTGGAGAAGCAAGAGTGTATGTGGGCATACTTTCCCAATTCTTCACAGTTCACCTGGTTTAAAATGCCCTGCTTTGCATGGGTGGAGAATGGAAGGTGATCAAAGGCAAACAGGTTTTTTCCTACCTGCTGCCATCATTTTTCTTCCGTCCCTCTAAGTACAAATTCAGACAGCTCTCATCGCCTAGGAGGGGGATAGTTTTCTTTAAAGCTGTCCTTATGTAAGAGTCATGCGCTTATTTCTAAGCTTTCTCTTCCACTTTGTAGATTTATCATTGAAATTTTTCTTGCGACTCAGATGAATTCTTAATCAGCTTCCATGTAATTTTTTTCTTTAGTAGCAGATTTTTCCTCCAGGGTGTTTCCAAGGCCAGTAATATATAAGTACTCCAGATAGGGCCAAAATATTTCCAGACCCATCCTAGGAAAGGATTCGTCTTTGGTCAGCGCCACTGAAGTGATCCAAAGGACTTTGACTAGGACACTACTACCAGTCACAGTTAAACCTCGTCATTATCTCGAATTATGTCACTCTACCAGAAAATGTTGTAGCGTGGAGCTGGTTTAATATCCGTATTTGAATTATTTTAATTATCATGCTTGAAATCTTGTGTCACATTACCATGTCTTGGTATGATCCCCAATGGGAGCCTGTCAAATTTCATTATATTATGGCGACTCTCATTTGGTGGCTCAAACATATTTGCTGCGTGAACCAACCCTTGTGTATTACTCGAGATTAAGTCAAGAGCGTGCCTGCTATTCTCTGAAATGAAGTGTTGAAAGGAGAGGTTGACCTAATTAGAAAAGTCTCCCAAAGAGCAGCAGAGAACGAAGCTCCTGTGAAACAAAGGACTCCTCCAGTTTTCACTGAGTTTTCTTTTCCAACTGTTGTGTTCGTTCTGTAGTTGCCCGCATCATAAGCGGCTTTAGGGCAGAAGCTTCACTGGTTAAAATAACGGGAGGGGGTGCAGGGTGCAAGGCTGCGGCTCGTGGGTGCTGCACGAGGGAGTGACGTGAGTAGCAGGGGTGGCAGCTCCCCGTGCTTCCAGCGCCGCAGGTGTGAATCTCAGCGCTGTTACTTGGGGCAGGGGTTCAGATGGGCAACCCGCAGAGTACAGCAGAAAGACTGGACAGGTAAATTGGTGAGAATTTTCCTAATTTATCGAGTCTGCCTGAAATGAGGATAAACACTGAATTTTCTTACACAAGGCTTATCTTTCTCTTTACTTGGCATATGTTTATATGTTATCGAGCACGCCTTACCTTCCGTGGGTTTCCTTGCTTTACAGGTTACTTTCAGTTGGTTTGTCTGAATTTTTTGGGGGTTTCGTGTGGGAAATCAGTAGAACACTGAGTACTGCAAAAAAAGGCAAACGGATCTGTGTGGTTTTACAGAGCTCCTTTCACGGTATCGTAAGTCTCTCTTCAAAATTATGAGTTGGATGCTGTTAGAATAGTAAATATGTAAATACATGAGTAATTTGCAAATGTCCTTGAGCCGCTGAACCGGTTGCAGTTGCACAGCATGTCTCAGTTCGATGGAATTGTTCAAGTTCTTACTCCAGCTGACAGAATTGACTTTCATCTTCCTGCATTTAACAGCTTTCCCTTTCATATCTCTTTCGATACAGATAATAAACAAGCTTAAAATATTACAGGGGCAGGAGGGGCAGTCAGAGAAGTAAACACTGCTCGCCTCTCCTTTTGAGCTACTTCTTCTGCTTCTGCATTGTCATTGTGTTCCGTTCGCCTTTCAGCTTTTTTTTTTTTTGCAAGTCCCTTGGAGTTAAGATGCTGTGCAAAATTCTTCAGCTTTCTTCTGGGCTTTGTAGGCACCGTGAGGAGGGAAGTGTGCAGTGTGGTAGGTGTGGGATTAAGCACACATCTGTCACGCCCTGAACACAGTTTTAAAAGGCACTCAGCTCTCTGAATGTGTATATCCAGCATCACGTCACGGTAGACAGAGCAATATTTTAGGTGTAATCATATCAACTGTATGTCAAAGTTCTCATTTTGATACGATATTTTTTAATTTATCCTTTCAGACCTTTCTCTGGCCACTGTCCCTATCCAAAGGAGATGCACGAAGTTGTTATCTGTCTTTGAGTAATCTTAATTTTTTTTTTTTTTTTTTAATCTGATTACATGGGAAAAGTATTAACCAGGTTCTTGGAGACCTCTGCTGGTAATATCTTCCTGCTAAGTCTCAGATTTTCTTATGTCACAATAGGGCAAATGACCATTCAAAACAACTTGAACTCACTCTTGGTTTTAATGGAAATTTTGAAAGGTATTTTAGGTAGATCTAGACAGATGAGGTTTGTGAAGGTAACATAAGACAGGTTTTACGTGGTCTCCAAAAACACGTGGCAATTTTGGCGAAATTTGATTTGCCTGTGGAGTCTGGCTAAACTTAAGCTGTATATTTAAAAAATCCAGCAAACAACAAACTGATAAAAACGCATGGAACACAACTGAAAATACAATCTCAGAAGTGTCTGAAAACTGCCAGTGCCGGTTTTCAACCAAATTCTACCAAAAAGTGTCTCTGACATCTGCTTGTGGACTTTCTAGGTTTGTTCAGTGTCATTAATAGAGTTATTGAGTCCAAGGATTTTTCGTACAGATGGAAGATCTTCCTCTGGCAGTGCTTGTAGGTATGGCCCTAATCTAAGGAAAGACTGAGAATGTGGCTGTGAAGTAATGCCTGTGACCATGCAGGCCTAAGTGACTGGAATAACCTTAATTGCGTTGCAGAGGTAGTTCTAAACTACAAGTTTTGAAGCTGGAAGCTAAGTTTTAGAGCTTTGAGGCCTAATTCCTATAGATCCTGAAGACGAAGGGGTCTAACGATTGCTTTGTTTTTGTACAGTGGTCAGGATTTCTGAAGCTACTCTTTTTTTCATTAAGTGTTTTTATTAAAAATAAAAAGAAAACCAGTTCTGATCTTGCACGTGCCGCCTTCAGAAAGCAGAACTCGACTCGGGGAGAAAAAAAATCTTTAACAGTCATTAAGCATGTTATTAAATCCAACTCTTAAATGAGCTAAGAAAGAAAGAAGTGGCCCTTTGCTTGCACCTAGAGAACACGCTGTTGGTGTTTAATTCTGCATTGCAGCTCAGCCCAACTGGATCCAGAAAATCAGCGACGCACACACAGCCATAGAGGACAGTGTGGTCTGGGAATGCAAAAACGGGCCAGGGGGACCCGGAGGCCCTTGTACCGTTGGCTGAAGGCCGGGGAGCCGCTGCTGCCCCAGGTAGGCGCTGCTGGAGCCCATCGCGAGGGCTTTCATGCTCCACCAGCTTTCTCATCGCTGCCTGTTCTGTTACTGTTGGAATGGAAATAGGATGGAGGTGCTCTGAAGTCCATCCGCTGTGTAGGCGAGTCCTTGGCGTGCCTGGTGGGCACCTCGGTAGGGCTTCGGGAGGGCTGCTGTTAGTGACAGGTAGGGCAACAAGTAGACACCACAGCTCTACGTTCAGAGGTCTTCGCTGAAGTGAAGGCTCCGTGGTACAAACCTAAGGGTGGAGAGACCCTTGTGAAGAAGAGGGAATGGCCGCGTGGGACTGTGGAGCCTGCAGGCAGAAAATGATCGCCCAGATTAATTTTTTTTACTTTTTTTTTTTTTAGTTTATGATGTTCAAGTGAACTTCATAATGAAACCTTAGCGTTTCTGCTGGTCTTTAACAGCGTTCCCACTCCTCCTACCCGACGGTGTCCATGTGAGGGGAACCAGGAGCACGGCCTGCCATTGCCAGGGACACGAAGAGCTGCCTAAAGAGGGGTGATGCGCAGGGCCTGGGGAAACGCACCCCCTCCCACTGCCGTGTCTGCCCAGCCTCTCACTGGAGGGTCATCACTCAGTCCCATGATCCCCCCCCCGTTACAACCACAAACTAAAACAAGTCACCAAAACGTTGCTCTCACGGTGGCTGGCATTTTTTTTCCCTTCGCTTACTGTGAAAGAATATGGCAGCCCAGATTTGATCAAACCCTGCTAAAGATTGCACAAACATTAGATTTCCGCCCTACGGCCAAGTAGAAGCCAATAGCTCTTTATGTTACTATTTTTTTTTAAATGGTGAAACTCCTGGGGAGGGAGGGAACGCTTTGCTGTACTTATTAAAATTGATAACACGAGCTCCATATCCTTAGGCTGACAAATGATACCCTGGTCTTTTGTTCCACACACTAATTTTACTTGCTTCACGCTGGTCACTAGCAGATGGTCTTGTACTTAAATCACATTAGTGGCTGATATGAAGTAAAGGATCATTAAATTATTAACATCTATATTGTTTTCAGTAAACTGCAGAGGATTTTAAGTATTTCTGTCTGTGCTAGTTAAGATGGCAACCAGTCTTACTAGCCTTCATTGCCATATATACTCATAATACCGTTGTTTTAAATGCTTTAAAGAATATGGCTGGCTGCGATATGCCACTGTGGAACACAATTGCATTTTTTGATTCGAGTTTATCTACTTGAAAGGGACGTTCATCTCAATGGTTTGGGTGTTAAATCAATGAGGAGTCAAGGGAAAGTCCTCCACTTTAAATTGCACTTACCAACTACTGTATAGGTTTTACCATTTAGTGTCTAACCTGACATAAATTTAGCTGGCAAACAGATTGGAGCATGCAAATTCTTCCCGTTACTGCTACTGGTTTTTTGTCCGCCTTGGTATAAAATATAGCACAGCAGCCGCTGGGTTTATGTTCCCGGGGGGATCTCCTTATTTACTTTTTTATTTGTTTTGCTGTTTCCTACAGGGCAGAGTTCAGCTGGAGCAGGGCTCGCTCACGATAACGAACGTCAGCCTGTCCGATGCCGGCATGTATCAGTGTGTAGCGGAAAACAGACACGGCATCATTTTTGCCAGTGCAGAACTGAGTGTCATAGGTAAGTTTACTTCCCTGAACGCCGCAAACCTTCCAAAACCAGCAAAACCTTCGCCCAGGCTGGTTTTGCCAAGTTGCAGCATCTGAAGCACAAGTGCTGCTGAGGGTCTTTGACCGGTTGTTGGTTTTAAGTAAGGCATGGAATGAGAACTTGGGAAAGCGAATAGACAGAGAACAGATCTTTTTACATCATCCAATCTTCCCGTATTCATCCAGGTGACTGAGCACGCAGAGCTGGGAAGCTCAACTCAACCTCTTGCTGATTAGAAATGTTTATGGAGAAACCTGAGCGTTGCAGTTCAGAGCGTGCTGGACAGTAACTGCCTGCCCGTGGGCTGCAGAGGCTGACTCTCTTGAGGGAACGTTGAAAATCCATCTGTCTGAATAGACCATTCTAATGGCAATCGTGATGCTCCCATCCCAAACCCTTGCCAAGAAAAACAACTTCTGCCCCGCCTGTTCTGTGTACACCTGCTCTGCTTGTCCCAGTTAATACAGGAGATGCTCCTGTGGATCCAGGTGGTTCAACACCTGAGGGCAGGGAGTAGAGATTGCAGAGCCAGGCTCTTCTCAGCAGTGCCCAGTGCCGGGGCAAGAGGCAGCGGGCACAAACAGAAACGCAGCAAATGCCACTTAAACACAAGGAAAACTTCTTTCCCGTGAGCTTGGTTGAACGCTAGAACAGGTTGCCCAGAGAGATTGTGGCATCTCTGTCCTTGGAGATATTCAACGTCCAGCTGGACGTGGCCCCAGGCAACCTGCTGTAGCTGCCCCTGCTTGAGCAGGGGTGGGACGGGACCGTCTCCAGAGGTCCCTGCCAGCCTCAGCTGTCCTGCGAGTCTGTACCTCATTCATAAACTCCTGCTCTTGGAGGAGAGGAAACTGGTATGTCAGCGTAGTCAGGTCGTTTCAAAGGGTTAAACAGAATTCATGATTACAGAATAGTGGTTTAGTTGTTTTCAAAGCGCATGTTCAATAGCATCATTCCCTGCTTTATCCTGAAGAACAAAGCATGAGGTCTTTTCTGATTATGGCATTCAATTATTGGTCATTTTTTATCAGCAGTGATAGATGCCTGCATAGAAGAAAAATTCCTTTGAAAGATTGTCAGTGTTGCTGTTCAAGAAAAGTACGATAATGCTCAATAAATTAGACGTCACAGTGCCAAGATTTATTGGATGTGTTGCTGTGTGAAAGAAATCGAAATAAACCCACTGATGCTTTTCCTGTCTATTCAAAACCCTGGTAAAAATGAGCCTCTGGGAGGAAGGCAGATCGTCTCAGAAGACAGAGGCTTAACCCTTGTTGGTGGGTACCTCCAGTGCACCCAGGGGCTGACCTCATGTCTGCAGGAAAAGCAAAGACCTTGGAGAACCTGCTCTTAAAAACCTGCCAGATAACTTGTATTTGGCTGACTTCTCAGCTGGGTTATGCAGTCTTGCTTCCGTCCGTGAAAAGTATCAGAGTGGTGTGCCCCAGGTTAACGTCTATGCATCTGTGATTTAATTTGGCATTTTTTTAAAGAAAAACGGCATGTTTTCCTTTTCACTAGTTTTCAAAGGAGGTCAATATTCTGAGCTCTCACTGAGAAATGTTAGGTTTTAAACAGATCGTTCTGAATATCAAAATGGTTATTTTAAAAGGTTCTGAAGTTAAGCACTTGAAATGATTAAACACCGCTAATAGCAAGTGAGACATACAGCAAAGTTAAGTGAAAAAGAGAAATGGAAAATTACAGGCAGAGCTTTTCTCAGAGTGATTCTTTATTATTTTTGCCAATTATACTGCCTGGAGTCTTCATCTAAAACCAGGATCCTGTTGTTCTGGGCATTGTAAAAACGTGTAGTAAGATGCAGTCATTGCCTTAATGAATTTTCAGGCTAAATGTTTAAAAAAAAATTAAAAAATGAAGGGTGGGCCTAGGGTGAAAGAAAAAGTCATTAAAATCCTCATTTTACAAACAAGGTGTGAAGAAATTAAATGCGTTAGCCCTGAAGTGGCACAGGGACACTGTGGCAGTGCTGAGAACCGAGCCCAGAGTTTTTAACTGTCAGATGACGACGTCTCGAACATCGTCGAGTAAAACCCATATCGTGCAACTCCCCTACCTCACGCAGGACTGAGAAGGGAGTAGCAAGTGACTTGCAGAAAACCCAGTTTAAACTGTTCGTTACAGAGATGGAAATAACAGAATTATTAAAAAAATCGTGTTTGCCTTTAAAATTTGGACAATCACCTGAGAAATTATTTCCAGAAGTGATGATGTATTAATTATGATACCACGATATAAACAACAATCCACCTGGTTCTGAGCGCGTTGGTGGGAAGTTGGCCTCAGGACGCCTCCTTTCATCGTGAAATGTTTTGCATAGCCGGTGTTGGTTTTCAGATGGCTCTTTTACAGTCTTTAATGACCTACACGTCTTCCTCTGCGCTGAAACGACGTCAGCCACCTATGATTCGACGTAGAAGACAAGACAGCTCAGAGATGGGTGAACTCTGTAGAAGACAAGACAGCTCAGAGATGGGTGAACTCTGATTTGTGACAGTGGAAGACGAGATCTGTTTGATCATAAAGCCCCTCCCGTTATCAGTGTAGGATTGTGTTTTATTCAGCTCTCTTGCAGTTCTCCGAAAGAACTGAGGCAGACGAGGTGCCCTAAGAAAAATGAATTTGCCTTCTGTACCTCATGCCAGGTTTTTGTCTCCCAGCTGCTTCAGGTGAGCTTTAGATCATTTCATGGAGCATCCAGCAGATGCAACATGCAGTGATCTAACCTCTCACCTCCCTGGGTGCAGCGAGAAGGTAAGTCGAGGGAAATGCTGCAAGCTCAGGGGCTACGGGGCTGGTGCAGGAGGCGCAGGGTGCAGGCGTGCGGCTGGCAAGGAGGATGGAGAGAATGAGAGGGGTCTGAGCAGAGTTTGCTGCCACGGACGAGCCAGGAAGCAAGCTCCTGTCAGCGTTGATGTTGCAAGCAGGGCAGGAGTTGTTCATAAAACCCTTCAGCTGCCTCACCTGTTTGCTTTGAGCTTTCAATATGGAAAGAATTAATTGTCCGACTTGATATAAATAAAACCTTCTGGCCGTCTTTGGGGAGTTCACTGCCAGATCAGTCTAGAGACAGCCGCCTCAAAGCTCTGCCTGTCATCGGGTCCCATCAAATAAATCATTAAAAATCCTTTGGGGCAGGAACCGGGAGCCAAACCATCTCCTCCCTCCCTGACCTGCCTTACAGCCCGGCTGCAGACTGCCCGCAGGGCTTTGGTGGTCGCTTCAATGGCTCTTTTTCACAAAACAGAAGAGTGTGCCCTGGAGGGACTGTAAGAGATGATTCGAGAGTACCTTGTACCCTGGTGCCTACTGAAGTCTTGCCTTGTTTCGCTTGGTTCAGAACCTAGCCATGTCAAGGTCTCCCACCTTTATCGAATTAAAATAAAAGACACAGTTTATGCAACAATTGTGACTATAAAGCATAAAACTGTCAGCTTTTCTGGAAATAGTAACGTTTCTGGTTAATTATATGGGTTCTGTGTTTGTGACAATTTTCCTGTGTGCTGTTGCTCTGCACATAGCGATGTTTGACAAAACGAGGATCGTGCTGTTACGACACAAAAAAGGAAATACATTATACAGTTCCTGCACGTCGTTCTTAGGGGCGCTGCCCCGAAGAAGATGTGTGTGACACTGGGTCTCTGCCGCCTGCTGAGGTTACTGGTTTCTGAGGTTTGCAGCTGAACGTGCATTTCTAAACAAGGAAAGAGCTGAGGCATTCAGGTGTCTGTTTGCCCCATCCATACGTGCACATAGTTCATAAAGTCAGATCATTTAGGAATTGCAGGTGAGAAACAGCCCTGGAATATTGTAATGTTCAGAAGAGCTTGACTTTGGTGTTTCCAGAGAGAATTCTGATCTGTTTTGTTTTTTGGTTTTCTTTTTTTTTTGTTCTTTCAGCCGTCAGTCCAGACTTTTCCAAAACGCTCTTGAAAAAGTTAACTCTTGTTAAAGTGGGTGGTGAAGTAATCATTGAGTGCAAGCCGAAAGCTTCCCCCAGACCTACTTATTCTTGGAAGAAAGGAAAAGACATCCTAAGAGAAAATGAGAGGTAATGTCTCGAAGTAACCGTTTCTTTCATTAGCCTGCTCCAACCCAGGGGCTTTCAGCAATGAAAGCTAAATTTGTCATTAATAGCTTCCCAAAATTGACTTGCAAATAAATGTGGAAACAGCTAGTGTTCAGTCTGAAGGAGCTGGGCGTGAGATTTCTATTCCCATTGTATTCTTCCCAGTCTCTGTGTGCTATTAAAGCATCCCTGCCAAGAAGCTGATAAAGATACATTCTAAAAAGCAAATATTTTCCCTCTGCCTTGCTCTAAATAGCCATTGTTTTTCAAAAAATTTCCCAGGAGATCAAACTCTCCCCTGCAAATTACATTGCTCTGGTACATTACTCAGTGTCCTCCAAACAGGAATTATTTGAGGTCAGTAATTAAGTTGGCAGCCCTAACGCCTGGCTTGGAGACTTGCTTTTTCAGACTGGCCAGGTCATTTTTTTTCTTTTTCTTTTTTTTTTTTTTTAATTCAAAAGGAGAGCATTAGCAGGAAGCGGGAGCCTAACTTTTGACTTTGCATGTGTGGTTTTGCAGATATTTATTGTTGTCTGTGTACAGGTGTGGTCATGTTACCTGTCCCGCTTGCACAGCGCCTGATACTGGGACCTGGAGAGCTGTCCTTGACAGTCCTCCAAAATACGGTGCGCCACTAGGATTGATGATGGGAAAAATTCTGTCCTTTCAGGAAAGGTCAAAAAGCCAAAAATTACAGGAAATTGTTATTTTTAAATGCTTAAATCTGTTAGAGCTGTTCTTTTATCTTGGAAAGTCCAGTCTTCTCCATTCAACCTGCCTGCCTGTAACGTACATTGAGATATATGCTATGGTGATGTAGACAAGTATGCAAAAAGCTATAGTTCGTTTAGGGCCAGATGAGTAAAACAATGAACAACCTATTTCTGACTTACTAGGCTCCTGTAACCTGGTCTTTACAAAGCTATTGTCCGTGGACCGTTCGACTTCACCTCTCGGGGTAAAAAGAGTTGGGTGATCGATTACCCAGACCTTCCTCTAGCAGCCAAGGTACAAAGCTGTGCGAGGTCAAAGTTAGAATAGATCAAGGCATATTGATTTTTAAAACAGAAATAGCTTGCTCTTCTGGTGAAGCTTGTGCAAAGGATGGAAAGTATTAAATACTGGGAGTTTTGGAGTGTCGGCCCCATGGGGTCTCATCCGTCTCCCCACCCTTGCTGGCCCAGCCCGTAGCTGAAATGTGCCGTCTTCTCCGACGCTGCTCTCCTAGGCATGGCACAGTCGTTTCTCCTCGTTTTAATTTAGGAGTGAGAGAGGAAGCATTAGTTTATTTGAGGAGGGGCTTAGGAGAGGAAAGAGATGTGAGCACGGTGTTTCTTGCTTGGTCACTGCTGTGCAATGCTGACAACAATGTGATTTATTTTTTTTAGCGCTACTCTCACATCTGCAAACTTACCTGAAAGTTGGATGCTGTAGTAGAGCAGAAACCCCTGGATCCTGATTTCCTAAGGGAATATGGCTCATGTACTGGTAGCATGAAGCCAGGTGGTAGCTTGGGTTGCCTGTGTGTTTACTTGCAGTTAACTTTTGATCTGGTTATAGATGTTTCAGCTGGTTTCCACCAAGGTTAATAGAGGGAGATGTACACCTCCAAAACAGCAGATTTCTTAAAAGCTTTGTGAAAACAGGCAATGGGGAAAAGGAGACACTATTTCCCCTCAGTGAAAGCCTTGTCACACCATGGTAGACATGAGGGAGTCCACACCAGAACAGCCCTGAAGGGTGCATATGTCTGTTTAAGCAGCTTAAGGCTGTACCTACAGCGTTTCACTGAGGGACCTTCTCCTAAGGATGTAGGCAAGGGGCAGTTCTGGTCATAAAAACTGGCTAAATGGTATGTACCTTGCTGTCTGCTGGTCACGGTCCCCCTGCCCAGGCAGGCTGTAGGCAGCGGCTGGGAGGACGGGTTGTGAATACAACACGGTCCTCAGCGTTGAGCTCAAAGGCAAGCCGCAGCAAGGCTGAGGGGTTGGTGCTGGTGGCAGTGGCAGGCTCCCACCCTGCCTCTGCTGAGCCCACCGTGCCAGAACCGGGAGCTTCCCACCCGGGCACCAAGCCCTGGAAGGGAAACCAGACATGAAATGTGCCCAAGCAGGTGTGAAATTTTCTGCTACTTCAGCCCAGGGTTTTTTCCGCCAGCCAGATCATCCAGTGGGGCCTATCTGGCAAAACATCTTAATGAACGCTGCTCCATTGACTTGGCAGTTGGACCTCTTTAGTTCTTATGCACAGCTGGTTGAGTCTCCCATGGGGTCAAGGGCGTTGAATCCCCGCCATCGCCTTTATTAACCACGCCATCCTCGCAGTCCGTACCCGGAGACTGTGTGAAATGTGCAATTAAGAAATTATATCGTCTTACACGGTCGTGGCGTTGTTCATCAGCCCTGTCTGACTTCACAGGCAGGAGAGGCCAAGTGCCTGGTCCTCTGCTTAACGTTGCTGTATTTCTGGTTCCTTCGGTTGCTGAAACGTTGTCTCCTTCCTGCCACCCCAGGGGACAGCTGCATTGACTGGAGTCCAGTCCTGCTACTTCCTTACACCCATGCTTGTGTGTGGGCTTCAAACAAGAACTTTCTTGGCTGTTGAAAAAGATCTGTTGAAGTACAGGAAGAAAGATGCCAAGAAAAGCTGTTGCTGAAATCTCTCCATCTAGGGCAGAAAACAGAACTTTTAAACAGGCGTGGGAGAAGAAACTTAAACGAAATCTCTGGTTAAACTGACGTTAGAGAGGACTCCGAGTTTCAGAGAGGCACCTGAACATCTGGATACTTCTCCAAACTGAACTTGACCATGTGAAGGTTAATCAATATAGATGGTCCTTCCAATTCTGGGTGGAGTTAAAAGCAACGTTAATATGTCAGCCCTTGCTTTGAACTCTGATGTGCAGCCTGATGGCTACCGTGGCAATCGCCCGAGCATTTCTCCCGGAGCTTATGTGACTTTTCAGATGTTAGAGACTCCTTGCTGGAGACAGAAATATCATGCAGCAGATTTGGCTGCCAGGAGTCTTATTCTGGAGGCTACTGCTGTCCAGAAGGCAAAACTAAGTGTGTTGTTCAACGTTTGCCCGGAGAGCAGAGACTACCATGGGAAAAAAAAAAAAAAAAAAAAAAGAGTGTATTGTTTTAGGTTTCATATTCTTCGCTGGAGGCTGAGGTAGTGTGTACTGCACCCCTAATGAGTAACATGCCCTGAAGGTATCTCTTACTGGTGGTTGAGAACTGTGCAATTGTGTTATTAGAAATTCTGCCCTGGGGTACAATTATATTATTGCAGTCATTAAAGGCAGTTCATCTCCATAATAATGGAAATCCTGCCTTGGAGGCCTAACTGAGTCAAAATAATGTTCATAGCCTGAGTCCAGAAGGTAAATTTTGTATAGAAACAGCTATAGCACAGATATAGATATATTGCAAATGCTGCTGGGAAACAAAGACTGTTTCTATATGGGTAAAGAGATCATTTTCGGTCATAGAATGGTCTGAGTTGGAAGGGATCTTAAAGATCATCCAGTTCCAACCCCCCTGCTATGGGCAGGGACACCTTCCACTAGACCAGGTTGCTGGTCTATCCTTGATCTTCCCTTCACATTTCAGTGCAAAACGGCTGTTACACTCTGTGGGAATGATCTTCAGTCCTATTAATGCCACTCTGTACAGGTCAGCCTCATAGGACCGCTGGTAGAGTAAGAGCAGGCGAGTCTGCCACCTGCCCCAGTATCTCCCACCTCCCACACCACTGGGACAACAGACGTGACTCAAATACACCTACTCTCTGGGAAACCCTCGCTCAGGATCAGGGGATACCTTTCCGATAGGAACGGTCACCATAAAGCTGGGCAGGCTGCACCATCAGAGGGACAGTAGTATGCAAGGAGTGCGTAGGACCCCCTTGCCCCAGCACACTCCTCAGGCAGAAGTCGTTTTACCCTTTGAGTGTACACCCTTACACCTCCAACCTGCAGGTTTGAACCAGTTGTCGAGATCGGCAGCTGGTAAGGAGTCATTCCAGAAGCCAGGAAGCACTGGGAGCTCCAGGTGGAAGCGATGTCTTCTGGTCATTGCAAAACCGTGATGTGTCTTTGGGACATGTCGGACCGTTCATCAGAAGGAAAGATTAGAGTTGAGTTCAGAATGTTTTTCACTTACCGTTTGGTTCTCCTGTATTCATATTTCCAGATATGTTTAACCTCTAATCTCTTTATTCTGACTCAGCAACAGGAGAAAGGAGATTTTGGAGAGCTGGGATCCCATTACACAGGTTCTCTTTTCTCATGTCCCAGCCGCACCAGCGTGACTCAAAGTGATGCTGGAGTTAAGCCTGTGAGAGGGAGAGTGTTAGTGCCCAGCTGCCTGAGGAGGGCTGGCATGCAAAACCAGGGAAAAACTCCGCGAGTGAGGAGCGCGCAGGCTGTCGAGCCAGGACTTAGAGTTTTTATTTAAGCCTCAGTGGCACTTTGGTTTCGTCATCTGGCGTCTTCAACCCCCTGATTTTGTGAAATAATGTAGTCAACATCAAGTAAGGGTTTTTTTGTAAAATACATAGCATCTATGGGATCGTATACATAGGATATAGGTGTCGTACAGACGTTGTATACAGAGGCATGGTCTTCTGCAATTATTACACCGTGCGAAAGACAGATTGTCTGAACTGTGCCTATACTTTGCTCCAAAGCCGGCTCACAAACCAAATCAATCATGCCTAGATATCGGTGGGAGTAACAGAGGTAGAGGGGAATTTTACGTGAGATTTACTGATATAAAACAGAAATCCATAGTTACCCACAAGTTTGGAAAAACTCCCATTAGCTGTTGGCCCCTGTATAACACTGAAGTGGGTGAAAGCAAGTCCTTAATGGAAGGCTTTCCTTTAAACTCCTGAACTCCTAAAGGCAAGCATCCTCCAGGCCACAGTATTTCCCATTTGTGATATTTCCTGGCGTTACGTTGTGTATGTTATTC